AGGTGGCTTGGAAGATGGGGTCAGGGTCAGAGGGGTCAGGGTTGGCAAGGGAAGTCATAAGTTCTATATCAAGAAGGCGGACAAACATGGAGTCAGGAAGAAGGGTGATGTTGGTGTTATCTTTATCAGAATTGATACCATGATCAGGATGGCGGGAGAGGGCATCAGGGGCAGCAAGCTTGGATCCAGTGACATGGTGAAGCTCAATGTCGTAGCAGGACAGGATCAATTGCCAATGGGCTTGCTGGCAAGTTAGCTTCTGAGCTGAATGGAAGTACAATAGGTTTTTATGATCAGTGAAGATGAGGACAGGGTGTGGGTTTCCTTCTAGATAGTGACGCCATTTGGTCAGGGCATGGATAATGGCCAGGAGTTCACAATCAAATATCTGATAGTTGCATTCTGCAGGGTTCAATGTCTGTGACAGGTACCCACATGGGTGGTACACTCCATTTTCATCAGTCTGCAGTAATACTGCGCCAGTAGCAACGAGCGAAGCATCGGTGGCAATGGTGAATTGATGGCTTGGGTCTGGGTTCTGGAGGACGGGTTGCTTCAAAAAGCATTCTTTCAGTGTGGAAAATGCAGAAGCACATTGATCTGACCACAGGAATACATTTTCTTTTTTAGTGAGGTCAATCAGGGGTCTAGCAATGTCAGAGTAATGAGGGACGAAGTTTTGATAGAAGTTGCAAAACCCAAGAAACGACTGGACTTCTTTTACCGTCATGGGGATAGGCCAATCGCAAATACCGTCAGTCTTGGTGACATCCATCACAACACAACCCAGGTGTATGATCATACCCAAGTATTCCACTTCTTGCATGTCAAATGTGCATTTCTCCGGTTTCAGGAATAGCTTTTCTTTGTGAATTCTTTCAAGGATGCGTTGGGTGCGATCATGATGGGAAGCAAGGTCATTGGAAAAGATCAGAATATCATCCATATAAATGACAAGCCATCCTTCATTGATTTCCTGTTGGAAGGTTCAGTTCATATATGCTTGGAACATGGTGGGGGAATTACAGAGGCCAAAGAACATGATGTTTGGTTCAAACAGTCCATATTCAGTGGTGAAGGCAGCTTTCCAACGATCATCGGGATGAATCCGGATATTGTTATAACCGGAACGAATGTCCATTTTCGTGAAGTATTTTGCACCATGCAACCAAGCGACCAGCGAGAGTGGTAATGGGAGAGGGTAAGCGTTTTTGACTGTCCAATCATTGATGTATCAATAGTCCTGGCATGGATGAAGATCTCTGCTTTTTTTCCTACAAAGAAGAAGCCGCTTGCTTGTGGCGACTTTGATTCTGAGATAAAACCTTTCTTGACGTTTTCTTCAATAAAAGCTTTGACAGCAGTGCACTCTGCTTCTGATAACGGGTACACCTTTGATGTTTTAGGAGTAAAACTGGGTTTAGTTGCTATATGATGGTCAATGCTGGGTTGTTCTGGTGGTAACTGGTTAAGACTGTCTTTAGTGAAGATGTCAGCGAAATCGTGGAGATAGGAAGGGACGAGTTCTTTGAATGATTTTTTTTCTGTTCAAGCCCAGCTGCTAAAGCAAACTGCTGAGCCTTGTTACTGGTTTTGACATATTCCATAGGCCATGACAGGGGTGTAATCGTTGGTTTCCGTTCTGCAATGCTAGTACCATCCTTGGTTAATGGGGTGTCCATGGAGATATTAGTGAAGACCCAGAGCTCAGTGGTATCGACAGGGTATTCGACTAAGTATTCATCATCATCAAGGTGGTAAGTCGTGAGTTCCTGAACAGGAGGTGCATAATCTTGGGTCCATATGTCATCCTTTGTATCAAAGGAATCATCATCGTCATCAGGGATGGGGTCAAGGTTGGGCAATACCAGGGGTTCTTCTTCATCAGGGATCTCTTTGATGGTAGCTCAGGGGAGCAGTTCAATTTTCACAGGAGGTGCCTTTGGCAGCACTACAACTGGAGTTGGTTCTTTCTTAAGATGGGAATCTTCCCATGTCTTGCTAATGGGTTTCTGAAAGAGAGGTGGGAGACCATTCTTCTTTTGCTCTATATCAACATCTTCTTCAATCAAATCGCTCTTCTCGGTATGAGGGAGTTCCAGGGTTTCTGTTTTCCATCAGATCATTGGGTCCATGATGTGCAGCCAAGGGATCCCAAGTAAAATTTGATCATGGCGACCTAGTTGTGTGATATTAAATTTTCCGATCATGGATCATTCATCAATTTTAACAATGAGGATGCAATAGCACATGATAGTGCCTCCTTTCACATAGCTTCCATCTGTGGTGGTGACCCAAAATGGTTTTATGAGTTTATGTGTTCTGATCCTGTGGAGCTTGACAAAGTCCTCAGAGATAAAGGTTCTGGCAGTGCCAGAGTTGACAATGGCTGTTGTCTCAATGGTTTTCAGATGAGTTTTAGAGATAAGGGAAATGGGAATGCAAAGTTCCTTTCTGATTCCAATACTTCATATAAGTCTGATAGGTACATTGGAAGATACTGACAGTTGATCCAGTCTTCCACATTAAAAATCCTCAGCAAGGTGGTGGATTATTGTATCTTCATCCTCTTTGTCGCTATCCTCTATTTCTTCATGACGAATGGGGGTTTTTCCATTCTTCTTCTGAGGACACGCTCTGGTCATGTGTCCTTTCTGGTAACATGTGAAGCATAATCCCTTCTTCATATGATTGCTCCTTTCAGCTTCAGTGAGTTGATCTACCTCCATGGCATTTGGGTCATGCCAGTCAATGGAGGGTTAGGGTATGTATCGCTGTCTGTTTGGCTTGGTAGTGGTGCGGTTGTTCTGACGGAACATGGCACCTCTTTGCCAATTACTATTGAGCCTAATGGCTGCAGCGACATATTTGTTGAAATCTATAGGAATGGTTTCCATTTGGTAAATGGCATTACCAATCCCTTTCTTGAGCCCATCATTGAAGAATGTGATCAAGACAGTGTCTTGCTTTACAGAGGCTTGTGCAGCAAGGGTCTTGAAGCTGGCAATGTAGGAAGTGAGATCACCTGTCTGCTTCAGGGTATGGAGCTTATTTATGGCTGTGCCAACAGCATCGGCCAGGTGCAAAGGCTTCTTTGAACTTTGTTTCAAAGTTTGTGAAGGTTCCATAGGATTTGGAGGTGGAGTTGTTGACCTTGGTGTAAAAGGTGAGTGCCCAACCCATAGCACTATCTTCGGTCATATAAGCAAGAGCAGTGATGACTTTCTTTTCATTGGTGTTATAGACTGTAGCATTAAGAGCAAAGTATGCCTTGATTGCAAACAACCATCATAAAGCCTGCTGAGGGCTTCTGTTGTACATTGTTGGAGTTCCAGCTTTAAGTTCTGTGGTATTGATAGTTGACATCCCGATCTTCTGGTCTGGTGATGTTTCTGATTACAGGGGACATTATGTCTCTCTCTGTCTGGTTCTGGTGTCTGGTTTCTGGGACCTCCCTGATGGAGAGGGTCAGTGTGGCACTTTAATCTTTTGTTACAAACTAGGATGGTCATAACAACAGCAGCTCAATAAGAGCGACAGCTGAAGTTATAGTTAAGACCTTGCAAACACAAGGGTTGTAAGACAAGTTGAAGAGAGTGTCTTTGACTTGAATATTGGTTCAGATGACTTAGGATTGGAAGTCCTAAGCAAGAGAATGTTCAGGTGAAAACCTAGTAAGATTAAAGTGCAGAACTAAAGCATACAAAAGAACTATTTATAGTGAACTACAAGTGCTTTAGGGCAGACATTGGAATGGATATGAGTCAGAGATAAAGGACATGTAAGTGATAGCAAAAATAGATCATCTAGTGACAGCAGCAGCAGTTGTGATGTAATACAAGGATAGTAAGGAGGAAAATGAAATAGGGGCATATGCGACTGTAACATATATAATCTTATATAATTTAGTGTATTTTTGATTTGATTTTACCAATTATATCTGGTCATATCAAGTTAGGGTTGATTTCCTGATGGATATGAGCTGGTCGTTGGCAGCCACGATCAGTGTGTTTTCACGTGTTGGGGAGTTGTTAATCCCTGTTTCATTCTCAGTTACTCCTATAGTGGAGTAGAGCTTGCTTAGCAAGCGACTCAGGTTAGAATTGGTTTGTCCTCTTTCTAACCTTTCCCATCACTTCACTAGCTAGTTGTTTTGAGCAGTATCATAACTTCATTATCATCAGAATTCTTCTTCATGTCTGACAATGGAGAAACGTCTCAAACCACTACCTCAATGGAACAAACTACAGAGTGACAAACTACAGAGCATTCAACTGATCTCAACTGTATTGAACAGTGCAATGAGCTCATTAATCAGTATCAGCTCAGACACAATGGGAAAGCCATCACCATACTTGACATCCAAGAGAGTCTTCTCCAGTCTCCCACTGTTAGGAGCGGAAGAAACATTAATGAAGCCCTTGATGTCTTCATTGGAATGCTCGACAGTATCGATGCCTCAAAAGCACAAGCTTTGGAAAGAGGATGTTGAAGTAGCAGGACCTTTGAGGAAGAGGAAGCTAATAGAGAGGATAGGGGAAACAACAACCCTGAAGAAACAGAAGCAGGGCAAAAGCAGCCAAGAGTTGTCACTGATTCAGAGGATGAAGATGAGCCCAGTTCAAAGCAAGCCAAAACTGTTGATTCCAGTAAATTTCCCTGGACACAAAGACAGTCAACAGCACTTGCCTCTTTACCTCCAGATATCAGAGAAACATATCAGCAACTCAAAAACTTCGCTGCTGACCCAAAGAGTGTCATTAATGACATCCTATCCACTCCAGGGTGTCCACCCTTCCCACCTAGTGAATGGCTCAATGTTGTCCAATAGAAATATGTCAACCTCACTAAGGTCCTCAACTCAGCTCACACAACCGATGTGCAAACACAACAATGGCTAGACACTTGTTAAAGTGCCTAACCAAAAATATTGTTGTAGGTCAATGCTCTGCCTAGCTGCTACACTTGCAAGCAAGAATGTTTGACCCTAAAGGGAATTGCTACTGAGAACGGCTGATGATACTAAAGACCTGAAAGTGCACAGAGCGCAGGAACAAGTGCATGGGTATGTAGAGCACGGGAATGTGGAAGTGCGGTCAATGAGCGGTTGATGCGGAAGTGCAAGATGCTAGGGTAAGGGGTAGGGAAGTCTTAAGGAATGGTGCGGGTAACAAGTGAGGGCAAGGGTATTGATTGCATGGGTAAGGAAAGTCAAGACAAGGTGTCCAGGTATAAGGTAACCAATAGGGGCTAAAAGCGTACACTAATGGTGACTGCTCCTAAGTAAAACCTAAGGGAAGGGAATACTGTAGAAGGAAAGTAAATATGAAGTAGTCACTCTAGGCACTTTATACTAGCTAAACCCTCTCGGAAACGGAAGGGACAGGACAGATAGGCAGTAGGAATATGTAAAGACATGTAATAAGACTGCAACACTTGTTACAACACATGAGGCAAGGCAAAATATGTACCAATGAGGTAGGATGGACAATGGACTGACACGGGACATCTGTAAGGTAGTCCAAAGGCGTGGGAAATCGACCACAGGTATGCACGCAGCATGGGAGTGAATGTGCAGGTCCGCAGAGCGTGGGAATACGCATCCAGAGTGGGTTGAGTGCAGGAAAAGTGGTCAATGGTTTTGTAGCTTTCCATCACCTATATCAAAAGATGGCCATTGCAAGCCTAGCAGGAATATGATCATCACACCAAGCTGGATCCCAAAAAGACCCATGTCATTGATGATGAGATTGAGCTTGCCTTGCGAGTCTCAAAGTCTTCAACAGGAATCAAAATGTCCTCCCACCATAATATCACCTTCTCCATGTACATTGAAGCAATATCCTTTGTCTTCCCTCAGTGAAGAGATAAATTTATGCAATATAACACCTACCTTAGTTGACTCTTCCATGCCATGGAAATCTGCCTCCACTCACGCATCATTGAATTTGACTGATCTGTTAGAAACCAAGTGGCCATGCAAAGAAACCTATGCCTCACTGATTATCCCCAATTTGAGCACCTCAGAATGACCTTCCTCACCTCCTTTGGCATTGGTGCCAATTCCACCTCATCCACATCTAGTTCTGGGGGAAGATTGAATCAGAGAGATGGATATGGAAGAAGGGATGATCCCCGTCATAAATGGAATAGAGGAACCTGCCAGAAACCAGATGGTGAATGCAGGTTCTTGCACTGCTGTGATCGGAGAGGGTATCGTGGCCCCCATTGAAAATTGGAATGTCCAAATAAAGGAGGGGCTAAATGAGAGTATCACACAAGGACAAAGATTTCAGTGCAAAGGAGTATGGGGAAGAGGAATCTCCAGCTGTAGCTGAACTGCACTCTGGACAGAGACTGCAGTTCCTATGCCTAGGCCACCTGAACACGAATTTTTGAACCATGGAGCGCTTGATACTATTCAGCAACATCCCTCTTTGTTTGAAGTCTCTATGCCTATCAAAGTCAACATCTTCAAATCTCTACTTTCAGACCATCCAGATCAACCCTTTGTTTGTTTGGTTTGCACTGGACTTAGGGAAGGTTTTTGGCCCTTTGCTGATTCTCATCCTGAGGAATGGCCTCTCATCTATGATAACTCTGATCAGCCTCCCAAGACTGAGGCCAAGAAAGAGTTTCTACATGCACAAATCGAGAAGGAAGTTGAAGTAGGGCATTATTCTCAGGCATTTGGACCAGATCTGCTTCCTGGCATGTACAGCATGCCTATCCACGCTGTACCTAAACCAGGAACTAACAAGCATTGACTGGTTACCAATCATAGTGCTGGGAAACATTCCCTGAATGCCATGATCTCGCATGATGACATTGCTGGCATCACTCTGGATAATGTGCATGATTTAGCTAATGGTCTATGGGTGTTTAGGCACTGGAGACCTCATGCTAAACTCAACCTTTGGAAGGCAGACATGTCAGAAGCTTATCAGCATATGCCTATGCACCCTCTGTGGCAGGTAAAGCAAATTGTGAGTTTTCAAGGGCATTGATATGTTGACTGAAGAAATGTTTTTGGAGGAAGAGCTTCTCAGCAGATCTATCACGCATTCATGTCTCTCATCATCTGGATCGCGATTTTCAAGATTCTTATCCATTTCTTGTATATTTATGTTGATGACTCTTTCTCGTTTGAAGATAAATGCAGTCTTGAGCTCTATGCTCCCTACAAAAAACTCCTTCCTTCAAATCTTGTCAAGCTTCTTCGACTCTGGGATGCAATTGGACTGCTGCATGAAGAGCGGAAACAAATCTTCAGCCTTGAACTTCCTATTATCGGGTTTGATGTTGACCCTAACTTAATGCACACCTGCATGTTGGTTGACTCTCATACTTGCCTTATTCAGGAGTTGATTGATTTTGCACAATGAGGGTCATGAAGGTCTCTTCATGATTTTCAGTGTTTAGCTGGCTGGCTTAACTGGGCTCTCAATGTCTATCCACTGCTTAGGCCTGGACTATTAGCTCTTTATGCTAAGACCCCTGGCAAACTAGTCTCTAAAGCTCTTATCTGGGTTAACCAGTGTGAGTAACACAACTTGGCTAGATACTTGGTAAAGTACCTAGCCAATATGTTGGGTCTTAAGTGCTGTACCTAGCTGCTATTCGACCCACAAGGGTTTCTGTACTAGACCCAGAGCTCAGAGAGGAGAGAAATCATCATAAAAGTGCTAGTCTCAGACTACAGGTAAAGAGTGAAGGTAAGAGGTCATGCTTATATAAGCTGCAAAAATGCGAACATAAGCTAAAGAAAGTGGGGGTAGGTAAAGGTAATGAAAGTAAGTAAATCTAAGCCCAAGGAAAACTTGACTGTCACACCAGGATGTTGTTCGGGAACTAACATGGGTCATTAATCACCTCCATTCCACTGAAGGCGTCTTCTTCTTCAAATCCGTCTCCTGGAACTTTGCTCATCTTCTGGCTGATGTGTTGAGAGTTTATACTGATGCGTCAGGTGTTGGCTTGGTGTATTGGTTCCCTTCTCTCAATATAGGTTTTCAGTCACCCTTACCTGGGTCAGCACTGACTGGAACAATATTCTACCATGAAGCCTTAGCCGTCACGGGAGTGTTACTTAATTCAGTGGCTCGACTTCGTCCTAATCAGCGAGTCACTATGTTACAGTCATGTATGCCCCTATTCATTTTCTCCTTATCATTCTTGTATTACGTCACGAGCTGCACATTGCTGCCGCTAGACTTATCTTTGACTCATTTGTATTACATCATGATCGCCGCTGCTATCACTAGATGACTCGTCTCTTATCTCTGACTCATTGGTTGACTCATGCCTGCCCTGAATCATCTATGGTTCCCTATATATATAGTCAACGATGTACTTAGTAGTTCTTCACTTTAATCTTACTAGATTTTCACCTGAAACATCTTTGCTTAGGACCTCCAATCCTAAGCCGTCCAAACTGATATTCAAGTCAAAGACACTCTCTTTGCCTTGTCTTACGACCCTTGCATTTGCAAGGTCTTGACTATAACTTCAGCCATTGCTCTTATTGAGCTGCTGTTGTTATGACCATCCTAGTCCATAACAAAAGATTAAAGTAACCCAACAACCCCCTCCATCAGAGAGGTCCCAAATCCCAGAAACAGAACCAGGCAGAGAGAGATGAAATGTCCCCTGCAAATCAGAAACATCACTAGACCAGAATGATCAGGATGTCCACCATAAACACCCCAGAACTCAAAGCTGGAGCTCCCATGAATTACAATGGGAGCCCTCAGCAGGCTTCAAGATGGTTGTTTTCCATTAAGGCGTATTTTGCTCTTAACGCTACAATCTACAACACCAATGAAAAGAAAGTTATCACCACCCTCATGTATATGACCAAAGACAGTGCTATGGGTTGGGCACTCACCTTCTACACCAAAGTCAATAACTCCACCTCCAAGTCTTACAGGACTTTTGCAAACTTTGAAACAAAGTTCAAAGAAGCCTTTGTACTGGCTGATGCCATCGGCACAGCCATGAATAAGCTCTACACTTTGAAACAGATAGGCAACCTTACCTCTTACATCGCCAGCTTCAAGACCCTTGCTGCACAAGCCTCTGTAAAGCAAGATGCTGTCTTGATCATGCTCTTCAATGACAGACTCAAGAAAGGGATTGGCGACTCTATCTATCAGATGGAGACCATCCCCACAGACTTTGACAAATACATCACCACAGCCATCAGGCTCAATAGCAATTGGCAGAGAGGTGCTATGTTCCATCAAAACAATTGCGCCACCACTAAGCCAACTGGACAACAATACGTCCCTAGACCCTCTATTGATTGGCATGATCCAAATGCCATGGAGGTAGACCAGCTAACTGAAGCTGAAAGAAGCGACCATATGAAGAAAGGATTGTGTTTCATGTGTCACCAGAAGGGACACATGACTAGAGCATGCCCACAGAAAAAGAAAACTCCAGTCCATCACGAGGAAATAGAGGATAGCAACAAAGAAGATGAAGATACAACGATCTGTTGCCTCACCGAGGATTTTTGATGTGGAAGACTGGATTGATGTCAGTATCTTCCGATGTACCTATCAGACTTGTACAAAGTATTGGAATCAGAAAGGAACTTCATGTTCCTATTTCTCTCATCTCTAAAACTTGTCTGAAAACCATCGAAACAACAGCTGTTGTTGACTCTGGCGCTGCCAGAACATTTATCTCTGAGGACTTTGTCAAACTCCACAGAATCAGAATGCACAAACTGACGAAACCATTCTGAGTTACTACTGTGGATGGAAGTTACGCAAAAGGGGGAGCCATTACCCATTATTGCGTCCTTATCATGAAAATCAATGAACG